GGCCGCTCACTGGCTGAGCAAGGTGCGGGCGCAACACCAAGGGTTGCAATCCCGTTGCCGGTCCCGGTCCGGTACGGGTGAGACACTGAGGGTTGCGATCTGTTGCCGGTCATGAAAAAAGACAAAAAGGAAAATAAATAAATAAATAAATAAATAAAAGGCAGAAGCCCAGTTTTTAAGTCTTTTTGATTATGTGCCTGCTAAAATAAGTGGTGGTTTTTACTCGTGTGAAGGTAATCAACATGAAAAAGAGGGGAGTGAAGGGAAAGTGGGGGGAAACCCGTAGCCCCTGGAAGTGATCAGGCACAGTCCTAGAGGGGAAGCACGCCTCAGTGCTATTGTGGTTTCCAATCCAGATAAGGCGCAGCAGTGAGCGTGAAGACATACAGAAGAACTATTGGGAGAAGGAAGAATACTCGCAGAGATTTTCAAGTGACATAGTCCTAATATTCTCCTTAAAGTAGACATATGGTCATCTACTGAGGATGGGCAAATCTGGGACCGGCTCTGGAAGCTTGAAAGGAGCCGTTGGGAGAAGGAAGAATACTCGCAGAGATTTTCAAGTGACATAGTCCTAATATTCTCCTTAAAGTAGGCATATGGTCATCTACTGAGGATGGGCAAATCTGGGACCGGCTCTGGAAGCTTGAAAGGAGCCAAAGGATTTCTAACAGTTACTGGGAGCATTGTCATGTGGCTCCCAAGTAAGAGGGGAATCAGAGGACTTCTTAAGAGCCAGACAGGGTACATCTGAGATGTCAGCATGAATTTGTGACAGAAGAAAATGATACCAAATTACAAATAGACGATGCCATTAGTTACAGTTAGAAATGACTGACTATGACAGAAAATGTTGGAAGCTTATTAATATCTTTTGCCATATTGGCTGACCTAAGTTTCAGGTTGTATCAAGACCCGAAAGAAGTTAGGGTGAGGCAGTGATCCTAGCAATTGCCAAGGAATCGAGGGAGAGTAGATGTCACTGCGAGTGAAGGGCCCGGTCAGGGAAGAGAGGGAGCAGCAATGGAGACCTTTCGAGATGAGATTCAGACGTGTCAGCATCTTGGTGATGCAGCACTTCCAGGTGTCTGCACCAGGAACGCTTGAGCTCATGGAGAAGTAAGTAACTGGAGGAATTTAGACTGAGAGCTATGCCAGAAGAAATGTAGCTTAATTTCCATTACTTTTCCAAAAGTGAATTAGGGTAACTAACTACCAAAGTCATGTGGGCATGGTTGGGTAATGGAACAACATGGTAAGACTTTCTGTAGAGGTTACCACAATATTTGTAGTACCTTACATTTCGAGTGATTCTTTTTGGTCTACCAGGGACTTTCATGTGTGTTACATCACGATATTAACAATATGGTAAGGCCTTTTGGCCCCATTTTACTGATTAAAACACTGAAGCTCTGGGACATTAAATGACTTGCCAAAGTCTACATAGATCCAGAGTGGATACGTTTGGTTTATGAAGATGTATTGATTTTCTTCCAAGGTTTCACTGGTCATGGCTCCTCTTAATATAGGAAGGCATAGAGAAGCCAGACCTCAAGATCAAGGCTTCTGAATTCCAACACTGGGGACATCTGGGGCCAGAAAATGCTTCATTGTGGGAGCTGTCCTGTGCACTGGAAGATGTTTAGCAACATCTCTGTCCACCTATTCCCCCAGTTGTGACAAACAGAAATATCTCTAGACACTGCCAGGTGTCCCCTTGAGGGCATAGTCATCCCTGGTAGAGAACCACTGCTCTAGATTATAGAGAAATTACTAATATTTAACAATGTGTGATGTGTAACATAATACATAGCTCACATGTTAATATCAGTGAACCAGATTCCAGTGCAAGTGCACATGGGGTACTTAGGCAATAATTTAGTGTATCTGAAAGTTGTTTGGTTTTTTGACATTGTTACTTTGCTCAGTTTTCTGACCCAAATTTATTGGGAAACCCGGGATTCTGCAGGATGCCTTGGGATGTCTGTATTGTTTAGGCTTTTATGACAGCAGAGAATATGAACTCAGTAAGGCTTTATTGTAAGAGTGGACATGGTCAGGCACTGGAATTTAAAAGCCATGGGAAGAAGAGTCAGGAGGGATCTCTGGCCTTTTTCTATGTTCCTCCCACTGGCCACAAAGCCTTCTTCACGTGGCTTCTTCCTCTGCATCTGTCTAGTGCCCATTTGCTGCCAATGATCCAGTCCTGTCTGGGCTCTCTCCTTGAAATTCCCAAAGGGGCAGGTCTAACCACTTCCTCACGGGGATGAGACGACATTGGTCTGCTCCCTGCCCTGGCTCAGTCCTAGTCCACCCAGGCAACAAACAGCCTGTGACACCCAGACCAGGGTGCCATGCCCTAGGACATTTCTGCAAGAAGCTGCTATTAGAACTAGTAAGCATTTTGATGGGTGTGTGGCTCACCTGGCTTCTTATGATGGCACCGGGAGTTTACACCCAGCAAAGATGGAGCGAGGCAAAAAAACCATTTCTGTCTTGAGACTGAGCCTCGCAGACCACACACAGCACCAATAAAGCCAGACAATAAAGTCATTTAAATGTATTCACGAGTAAACTAGGATGAAGAAAACTGTCTTTTGGGCAGTCCAGAATTAATTGTTTTACATGTTTTCTATGTTTTGGAGACTTCAGATTAGCTGTTTAAATGATCCAACAGAACCGTTTTAATAAGGAGACCACCGAATTTCTCAGACTGAATTCACTCTTCATTCCCAAGATATCACAGAGTCGTGTCACTTGGTTTAGTGAGTTTTCTGAGCAAGTTTGAGTCCTTCAGAATAAAGGGGACTTCATGAGTGTGAGCCATCACTAGCTACTCTTAAACTCACAGATCAGAGGACAGCTTCACAAACAGCACAGGAGGGCTGTCCCTTATTTAAAGTACAAATGAGAACATGCGCTGGTGACTTTGAACTTGAGTGTAACATGAACTCTGAGAACTGAAGACATTTATGAATAATGTAAGACTTCAGCTGAGTCAAGTTATTCTTTAAAGAAATTTGTTTTTATGGTCATGTTTAATCATTAGTAAGTATGCTGTTTTCTCTTATTATAGGTTATGTATGAAATTGTTGGAGCGATTGAAAAAAATAAAGACTCCCTTTCACAGAATCTTCTATTTGTAATGAAAAGTAAGTTGAGTTTTTTTCTTCCCTACACTGGTTAAATGCCAATGCATCCTTTATCACTCTCTCTATGAATATTTTTCTATCAAATATGCTACCAGCTAAAAGACAATTGAAATATCTTTTACATTCTAATGCAAAGAATAATAAGGAATGGATCTTGCCATGCTATTCATTGGTTGCATTTAATTTGGAGTCCAGTAGAAACCATAACTTAACTAAGCTTTTAGCAGATAGAAATGTAAAACATCTTTACTGCTTTAGTGGTATGAATATAAAAAAGCTTTTCTGTGACGACTAATGAAGATGAATATAGCTTCCAAAGTTATTGAGGCCACAGTAAGTAGGTGAATTTCATTCCTTTAGATGACTCTGGAGCACAACTAAGGTGGTATTTTATTCTTATGTACTCTTAGTTATAAAGTATTAATGCCCACTAGGTAGAGGGAGCCTATAAATTTACATATACACGTATGTATATAAATATGAACATTTATATAAATTTATAGGCTCCTTCTACTATAATATTACCTACTCGTATTCTATACTATATATAAAACTATATACTAGATTTATGTACACATAATTATATGGATATAATACTTATATTGTATGTATACATTATATATATAAAAAAATTCTGTCTCCTCTAGTAATTACTTTCTTAATAGTAGTCCTGCAGTGATTCCCATTTTTTAATAGCATTTTTAATGAATTAAAATATATCATCTTTTATGCTTTAAGTTGCTCTAAATGAGAAAGAGTCATTTATCTCTTCTGGGAAAAGAAGCATATGAGAGCCTTGAAAAAGTTGAATGTGGAAATAAAAATTACCTTATCATTTTCTGAGGAACATATTTGTCTCAAATCACAGCAGCACAGTTGTAACACCTTGTTTTTCACAGCTGATGACTCTGCCTGTCTCTTAGAACTTATGGTGATTGTGATTTCTCTTAATTGAGACTAATGATAAAGACATGGACTTGGGATAATATTAGGAATAAAAAAGAATTAAAATAATTGATCCTATTTATTATCATTGGGAATATCTTCCTTCTAGTTTACAATTATTTGAACTTTTATTTAGAATGCACTTTCCTTGGAGTCCTAAAATATTAGGAATAAAAAAGAATTAAAATAATTGATCCTATTTATTATCATTGGGAATTTCTTCCTTCTAGTTTACAATTATTTGAACTTTTATTTAGAATGCACTTTCCTTGGAGTCCTATCCTTTATGAAGATCTAACACATAGCATGTTTTACAAGTTGGCACAGTGCTTTATTAAAAAATTTTGTATTTCATGTGATAGAATATATGTATTTAGAATCAGAATATGGTGGCTAGTGATAACACAATTCTGTTTATGTTCCTAGAATCTCTATATTTTAAAGTTTTTCTTTAGTGTGTAGTTGCTAACAAGTTCTAAGAAAAAAAGTGAATCTTGTTTTATTCTAAATATTTTGGGACATAGGTACGTCTGAGCAAAAGAACAGGCTTTACAGTGTGCACTTGTAAGTTTATACAAGTGATGGCAGATGTTTTCTCTAAAAGCCTAGAGAATAAGTATTTTAGGATTTGTGAGCCATAAAGTCTCTGTTGCAGTGACTCAACTCTGCAGTTATAATGTGAAACTTTTGTAGACAAAGAAAAAAAAGGATGTGGCTGTATTCCAATAAAGCTTCATTTACAAAAACAGGAGGCAGTGGACCATATTTGGCCCATGGGTCATAGTTCCTCACCCAGGCTATTATATAAGCCAAAGAGCCATGGTTGCAATAGTATTTTATGAGTCTGTGGAATAATTTGATGTTTTAGATAGTTATTAAAAACAAGTGTAATTTATAAAAATAACTTTTATATCCAGGGACTGTGCTAAGTACTTTGCTTTTGTATCTTATTAAATCTTCATGTCATCAAGCTCCCAGTTGAGAAATATGATAGGATCTGTACAAACAGAGCCGTGTCTATGAGACACCTAACCAAGCAAAGCCAGGTGACTTGGAGCCACAGCTCATGGAGAGGTGCAGCAAAATTGTGCTTGACACTGGAACTAAAGTCTACTTAACTCATAAAGAGGCAAAAAGATTCAAGATTCAGACTATGAAGTCTGGTCACAAGAATAGGAAAATTTAGGATTTACTGTCAATCATTGTTAACAATTCTTGCATCTTTTGTTGCTGTGTGTCTCTGCATACCTGCTTATAAACTGTGGGCACCTTAGTTAGCTTATCCCATTTTATAGGCAGAAAATGCCCTGTGCAATGATTGTGGATCCCAGTGAGGGATACATCCCATTTCAATGAGTGACATGAAGAAAATGGTTTGCAGTAAGTGACTCCGGGTAATAGGAAAGAAAGGAGAAAGCTGGCTCTTCACGAGAGGTTCCTCTATTAGGTTCTAGGAGGCAAAAGGATGGCAGGATTTCTCTGTATGTGTCCCATGGAAAGCTGCTCTCCCCTGTCATTCACTCAGCTGTGGCCAGGGCACTGACCTCAGGGTCGTCATGCAGGATGGCATCTCCCTGTGTCAGTGGGCTGACACAGGTCCTGCCAGATCTTCATGCAGCCTGACTATATGATTCTGAGGAAATACAGGAAAGGGCCACTTACATATTTTGGTCCATTTTTATACATAGTGTTGTCAATATTATTCAAGATGTTTTTTTCTCAATTATAGGAATAACGTGTTGCATTATTTATCTGGGGGTCCATTTATAAATACACTGACTGTAAATATAAATAATAATTGCTCATTATTATTTCTTTAAGTTTCCCATTGGTATAAATTGTGCATTGTTTGTTTTGAAGTGGGTTCACACTTAAAGTTACAAAATTAGTTTGAAGAACTCCCAAATGCACTCTTCCCAAATTCACTTTTCTCATTACCTTTTTTTTTTAACTAACTCTCTCTCTATCTCCACTTTCTCTCTCCCTCTGCCTTTTGCTCTTTTTGTTTCTCCCCCTTTCCTCCCCTATGTGTTTGTGTGTGAAATTTCCGAACCATTTGAGAATGTCACTTATCTCTTCATGTCTAAATACTTTAGTTTGCACCCTAAGAGCAAAGACATTATCGTACATAACCTCAGTAAATTATCAGAATATTTAACATTGATATAATACTAACATTTAATCCAGATTATGTATGAAACTTTACTAATTGTCATGCTAATGTCTTTTATAGTGACCCCTCCCCCAATTCAGGATCATTAATTGCATTTAGCTATTAATTCTCTTTAGTCTTCTTTAATCTGGGACAGTTCTCCAGCTTTTCTTTGTCTTTTATGTTATTAATAGTTTTTAAAAAATAAAGGCTAGTTAATTTGTAGAATGTCTCTCAATTTGGGCTTACTTGATATTCTCTCATATTAAAAGCAGATTATGCGTTTTTTTGCCAAGAATCCCAAAGAGGTGGTGAGGTGTCCTTCTCAGTGCATCGTATTGGGAGGATTGGAACACGTTAGCCATGATAACTTTGATAAAGTGGTATCCTTCAGGTTTTTGTAATCTTAAATTGCTGTTTTCCCTTAGTTACTGATGAGTAATTTGTAAGAAAGTACCTTGAGACTATATAAATATTCTTTTCCTCATCAAACTTTCACCCATACATTTATGATTGTTGCCTAAATCATTATTTCTCCTATGGTTGCAAAATTGTGATTTTCTAACCCCATCATTCCATCATCTGTGGCATTTTCCTGTAAGAACTCACACTTTTCCTGTATTTATTTATGATCAGTATAGACTCATGGATTCTTGTTTTATTTAATGAGTCATAATCCATTACCATCATTGTATTGATGCTAAAATCGTGCAGGACTTGGCCAGGGAGAACCCCTGCAATCTAGCTCCTGTGTCCTTTTGACAAGTTCCTATTATTTTTATAGAAATTTCTTACATTATGGCCTTCTAAAAATGCTCCATGCCTAAACCAAAATATGCAAAAAAATAAAAAGAAAAAAAGCCCAGATTCATCCACCTTGCTTCAGATTTGGAATCAGCCATTTCTCCACAAAGTTTATACATTCTGTATAAGAGAATGGTGTTGAGAAACGCCACGATCTAGAGTCTGCGTGAGCTCATTGCTTCTGGGTGTCATTACTTTTTGACCTTTTTAGAACTTGAAGATTTAAAATATAGATAACATATAGATATGTGGCTATATATTAAAAATTAATAATTTACCCTGATACCTCTAACTTTTAACCCAACACCACTCCTTTTCGCTCCTGCATTTCATAATTATATCTCCCTTCTCTGACAGCTCTCCCTGCTTCTCTGTTTGCTTATTAATGTAGTGATTTTTCACTGAAAACTTTGCAGATATATATTATGCAGGCCCTATTTTGCACCTTGGCAGGCAAAATAATTTGAGTGTGGAAAAGGTAGGAAATAAACTGCTCTGCTACTAAACATCGCTAACTGTCTGATGAGCTAAGCATTATCCTGAGTGATTTATGTACATGATTTCACATTTTAATTTGGCCGTAATCCTCGTGGTATGTACCATCATCATCATTCTATAGCAGAGGGCACTTAAGCTTAAAAACTGCCAACAGACAGATATAGGTAACGCAAGAAACATTCCTTCCAGATCCTCAGCCACCATAGATGTCATTTTCACTATACTATTCAAATTTGTAACCAAAATCTACTTGTCCAAGCTCCGGTTTCTCCCTGAGGTGCCAAGAGGGGAATATGGATCCAGAATGATCAGATTTATATAACTTAACATCTAAACTACATCAGCTTGTGTTTACCTTACACCTTAACTGGATCAGAAAAAGGGACACTTCTTTCCCCTTCTTTATTCTAACAACTGATGAGTTAAATGAGGCAGGGTCCCACACAGGTGTTCATATACAGCTCTGAGACAGGTGAGATCTGGGGGACATGTCTTCCTGAGAGTTATTTTCCCGGAATGGGAATTGCTTACAGAAACCACAAGCGTTTATGATTTGGTCAAGTACACAAAAGCCCCTTAGTTCTGAGCAGGTAAGATTTGGTTCTGACAACCAGGACAGAAGTAAGTGTTACTCAGAAAGCAAAGGGCTAAGTCCCCAGGCAGAAAATAAGGGAGCGTGGAGTCAAGACTCCTGGTCCAGGGCACTGAAGGTCAGAATTTGTCAAGTGGAGGAAATAAATAGGGGCACAGAGAACAGTAGCCTCCTAAATCCACTGCACCAACTACATCTTCCACACGAAAAGTTCTAGTGGTTAAAGCTTGTGTGAGGAATACGTTGAATGCTCAAGCAAATAATGATATTAACGCCACTTCGACTATTCATTTATTTCCTAGCTAGTGAAAATGTCGTGATCAATCATTTGTTCCAGTCGAAACTGTCGCAGACCGGATCCCTTGTACCTTCGTCTCCTTCCTTTAAATTCCGAGGACATAAATCCGCCCTGCTGAGTAAGAAAATGACAGCTTCTTCAACTGTCGGAGAAAACAAGAATTATCTAGAACTTAGTAAGGTAAAAGTTTTGTGATTCTTGCTTGGCTGTTTTTAAGTTTTCTTAGTGTGTTTGCTTCTTTTTAAAAAATGAAAGCACAATTGTGCACACCAGTGAAAAGAAATTGATATTCTAATACAAAGGATGAAAGGGAAAGATGCAACCTGAGGTATAACAGTCAGGGAGAGAAGACTGTCTAGCACAGCACAGCACGGTGACGTTCAGAAGCAAGTGCAGGATTAGTAATTTTATTCAGTGTACAACGCCCTATTTGTGTTCCATCTCCGTGGCTGTCTTGTTGATGGATGGAAAGTAACTTCAGGGACAGTAGGCTTGGAGAGAATAAACTTAGCTACCTTATTCTGTTGATATTAATCACTTCAGAGGTTTTAGGTCTCTAAACAATAAATTGTCGTTTCTCTTATAGACATAGGGTATTTTTCATGTGGTGCAATGTTTTTACTCTGTATTTCTAGATTTTAAACTTTTTTGTATTATACTAATTTTTTAGTGCATGTTTGTCCCACATAAGTTTGGTTGTACATACAGCATACAGCGTAAAGATTCTACTTGTAAAAGAGAACTAAAAACTCGGTAAAGGGTTGTTTCAAACTGATAGGAAATATGTATGAAGTATTTCAGGTTTCTTAAGAATCCCATGCCTTGTTGTATTACAGTCTGTTTTGCTTGCATCTATCAAAGCTATAAAAGATGAGAAATATAATTGAGAAAGTGTTCAGGACAATCAGTTTCAGAAATGCAGTTATTGCAGCTTCCTGGAACCCATTTTAGCTTACCAATTAAAACAAAAGCACAGTTAAAATCACTCTATTTTAAGAGAGTGTCAGAAATGTGTATTAAAGTGTGTGTGGATGTGTGTGTGTGTGTGTGTGTGTGTGTGTGTGTCTTTAGCCAGTAGATCCTAGATTTAGGAATCCTTTGATGTAGTTGTCCTAGAACTGGATAATCACAGGAATTCAATCTCACTGCATAGAAAATGGCATCTTTTACATAAAGAAGACAAAGGACAATCCTTTTCAAGGAAGATCTCTTTTCCTGGGGGTCTCACTGAACCTTCTGGCCTTTCCTTTCTTAATTACCCTGAAAATCAAGAGCAAGAAATCACCACCCACCTCTAAACTGTAATTTTTAACCTCAATTATTAAACATTATGAAGCCTAGATGCCATTAGTCTTTTCCCTAAAGAACTGCAAAAAGAAGATAATTCGCAGTAGTTCCTCCACCCAGAAAGGGAAATTCAGGGCACCATTTCAAGAGATGGAGATGTACTTACTAAGATTATTTCTTAAGTGTTCTATTCCTCATTTCATTTATTTCTCCTCTTCAAACTGCCCTCATCCCTGCACATCCACCCCTGTGGCCAGAAACGTAGGACTTTGCCCACTCTTTAGCTGCGTGTTACATTTTGTGTTGTACTTGTAGAAAACAGGTTGATCTCCGACCAGTCACTTCATTTTACATTCCCTTGTCAGTTGCAATTAATCACTCCAGCTTGACAGCTCCTCTTAATGGAAGGAAATGAGCTTTTGTCTTAATAGCAACAACACCAGGTTGACAAGAATGTTGTGTCAGAATTTTTTCTTATATCAAGACCTTTTTATGTTAAGAGAAATGATTTTAGATCAATAGATATGTTAGTCTAAGGCTGTGTAGTTTTGTGAAGTGTAATAGCACATCGGTGGCTGAGGTTCCTTATAACCTCTGGTGGAATTTAATTACCTTCTGCCCTTTAGTTCTTCACCCACTGGCCTCATTTCCACAGATTTTGATTATCTCCATTATCATTTAATCTTTGCTACATATGATTTTTAAAGAGCTTGTGTAATTACTTATTGAAGAAAACAGTCTATTGTCATTTTTCACAGACGTGATTTACTAACCCCTTTTAGCAGTTAAAAAAAAAAAAGAAGAAAGGAGAAAACAAAAAGT